GAGATCGTGACCTGGCTGAAGTCGGACGCTTACCCGACTGCGCCACCCAGGCGCCCCAGATTTCATTCTTTTTGATTGCCAAGTAATACTCTTTTGTATGTATGTATATGTAATATGATATCTTCTTTATCCATTCATCTGCCGATGGACATTTGGGCTCTTTCCATACTTTGACTATTGTTGATAGTGCTGCTATAAAATCGGGGTGCGTGTGTCCCTTCAAAACAGCACACCTGTATCCCGTGGATAAATACCTAGTAGTGCAATTGCTGGGTCACAGGGTAGTTCTATTTTTCGTTTTTTGAGGAACCTCCATACTGTTTTCCAGAGCGGCTGCACCAGCTTGCATTCCCACCAATAATGCAAAAGAGATCCTCTTTCTCTGCATCCTTGCCAACATCTGTTGTTGCCTGAGTTGTTAATGTTAGCCATTCTGACAGGTGTAAGGTGGTATCTCATTGTGGTTTTGATTTGTATTTCCCTGATGAGGAGTGATGTGGAGGATTTTTTCATGTGTCTGTTTGCCATCTGGATGTCTTCTTTGGAGAAGTGTCTATTCATGTCTTTTGCCCATTTCTTCACTGGATTATTTGTTTTTTGGATGTTGAGTTTGATAAGTTCTTTATAGATTTTGGATACTAACCTTTTACTTGATATGTCATTTGCAAATATCTTCTCCCATTCCATCGGTTTCCTTTTAGTTTTGCTGATTGTTTCCTTCACTGTGCAGAAACTTTTTATTTTGATGAGGTCCCATAGTTCATTTTTGCTTTTGTTTCCCTTGCCTCTGGAGATGTATTGAGTAAGAAGTTGCTGTGGCCGAGGTCAAAGAGGTTTTTGCTTGTTTTCTCCTCTGGGATTTTGAGGGCTTCCTGTCTTACATTCAGGTCTTTCATCCACTTTGAGTTAATTTTTGTGAATGGTTGTAAGAAAGTGGTCCAGGTTCATTTTTCTGCATGTTGCCGTCCAGTTTTCCCAGCACCATTTGCTGAAGTGACTGTATTCCATTGAATATTCTTTCCTGCTTTATCAAATATTAGCTGGTCATACGTTTGTGGGTCCATTTCTGGGTTCTCTATTCTTTTCCATTGGTCTGTCTGTTTTTGTGCCAGTACCATATTGTCTTGATGATTACAGCTTTGTAATACATCATGAAATCTGAGGTTGTGATGCCTCCAGGTTTGGCTTTCTTTTTCAGGATAGCTTTGGCTATTTGGGGTCATTCCTGGTTCCATCCAAATTTTAGGATTGTTTGTTCTAGCTCTGTGAAGACTGCTGGTGTTATTTTGATAGGGATTGCGGTAGGGCTATGGTTTGAACACAGGCAGTCTGATTCTAGATCTCATGGGTCTAACCATTGCTCTTTTCAAACCCTATGGCCCCACATCAATCCCATGAGATTTCTGCAGATCTGCCAGTGGGTGTAGGGAAGGCGGGGCAGGGGGAGGCGGTGGGTTGCAGTGTAGGGAAGAGCGTTTGTAGTTTGCTTCTCTCAGGTTCTTCTTACTGGGCATATGCAAGTGACTGTTTCCCCCACGTCATCTTCGTTAGAAACTCAGTTTCTCATAATTTCCTGAGAAATTCTCCACTGAAAATGGACTTCATGTCTCAGACAGGGGTTGCACTGGGAAACTTGCACATTGAACAAATATTTACTAGACAACTACTTACTAGGTGTCAGAAGCTGCTATGAACTTAAGGCATACTGGTTATTAAAAGAGAAAAGTAGCTGCCCTCGACGTAGTTATATTGTAGCGGAAGAAAGGACAGGAAACAATAGACATACCAAATAAGTAAATAACAGTATATTAGAAAGTGGTGAGTGTGGGGCGCCTGGGTGGCGCAGTCGGTTAAGCGTCCGACTTCAGCCAGGTCACGATCTCGCGGTCCGTGAGTTCGAGCCCCGCGTCAGGCTCTGGGCTGATGGCTCAGAGCCTGGAGACTGTTTCCGATTCTGTGTCTCCCTCTCTCTCTGCCCCTCCCCCGTTCATGCTCTGTCTCTCTCTATCCCAAAAATAAATAAACGTTTAAAAAA